CCTTGGAAAGATAAAAATAGCAAAGAGCTAGTTGCTGCCGGCTCCGACTCATAGCAACCTTATATACGACAGAATGACACCCTGCTAGATCCTGCGCCATCCTCCAAATCTGAGCCGTGCCTAAGCCGTCACTGTCACAGTCAATGTGTCAGCCCATCTCATTGAAGGTCTTCCTCCTTTTCATTGACCCAACAGTTTCCCAAGCATCATGTCCTTCTCCAGAAACTGAAAACATGCCCAAAGTACGTGAGACAGAAACCTCACCAACTTTGCTGTTAAGGAGCATCCTTGTTGCGCTTCTAAGACAGATTCATTTCTTCTTTTGGCAGTCCAAGATATATTCCATATTCTTTGCCAACACAACAGTTCAATGCTATCAGATCTTCTTGGGTTTCCTAATCATTTGCCCAACTTTCACCTGCATAGGGAGCAGATGAAAAGGCCATGATTTGGGTTAGTCTTTAAAGTGACAGTCTTGCTCTTCAACACTTTAAAGACCTTGATCTTCGCACCTTAGTCTTCAAAGTGACATTCTTACTCTTAAACACTTTAAAGACAATATTGGCAGCAGAACTGCCCAATGCAATACACTGTTGAATTTATTTTTTTTAATTTTATTTTATTATTTTTTGCGTGTACCATCAAATCAGATCTGACGGTACAGGAGGAGATTGTTCCTCCTTCTCCAGAAGAGTATCTGGTGGATTTGAACTGCACACCTCTGGGATTACAGTGCAGCTTCTTGCCACTGGGCCACCAGAGCTCCCCTGTTGAATTTCTTGACTGCTGCTGGGCACTGATTGTGAATCCAAGTAAAATGAAATCACTGACAATTTCAATCTTTTCTCCATCTATTGTGATACTGCCTAGAGAATCAATTTTGAGAATTTTTATTTTCTTAACGTTAAGACGAATCCATACTGAAGGCTGTAGTTTTGAGTTTCATCCATAAGTGTTCCCAGTCTTCTCTGTTTTCTGCAAGCAAGGTTGTGTCATGCATGTCACAGGTGGTAAGCTTCCAGCATCACAGTAACGGGCAAGTCACCATAGTTACGTTAGACTAACGTGTGAACTGAAAGAGCTGGTTACAGCCATCCAAACTGGGTAGAAATAGCAGTTGATCAAATAAACCAAAAAGGATACCATTTTGCTTTCTGAACATCTTTGGTGAAACCCTTAGCTTGCTAACCATTTTAAGATGTGTTTTGGTATTGGAAAGTTGTGAATGATTTCTTCTAATTACTAGCTCCCTTGAAAAACAAAATGAAGAGACTTGAAATGCAAAACTCTCAAGGAATTGGCTTGGGGCAGGGGCTGGGAGGCTTGCAGGTGGTGGTCAGTGGGCAGCAGGCCAGGGGAGTTAGAGATATGTAAGGTCAATCCAGCCCAGCTCTGTGAGCACAAGAAGAGAGACATCGAGAGGTTTCTGAAGTAAGAGGAAGGTGAAGGGGTTCAGAGGTAACCAGGATGTGACCCGCTAAGCCATCAGCCCATGGTCCATTGCTCCTGATAACCACAGCACGTCCTGTTTGCAGAGGGGACAGGGGATCGATACATCACCCACATTCACACACTCCCTGCTCTTCAAACATCAATATTTGGTAAAATATACCTCTTCTGAACCTCAGGTCATCTGATCCATCCAAGTCACCCACCCTGCAATGGGATAAGGGTGCAAGGGCAAGCATGACCTGAGGACATAATGAGGGACACTGTCCCCGGACCCTGGGGCTTGTCTCCTGCCCCTCATGCCCAGCTGAAGCCCTGCCCCCTCCCCATGAAGGTCAACACTCTCCCCTTGCCCACATACCTGATGACCGGTTAGTTGATGAACTCTATGGGTGGTACCTCTGCCCCACCCCTTTCCTCCCACGTGGGAGAAGCCTATCTTGTGGGGAGGAGGGCTTGAGAGGCCCGAGGACTTTATAAGCTGGGCTGGGGCTCCCAGTGGAGCAAAGCGCTGAGAACTTCTGGCCTGCAGCTGTACCACCTACCATCCCAGCTCTGCAGGTGAGACAACCTGGAGAGGGAAGTGAGGGGGGAAGAGGGTCAGCAGGGCCCCATTCCCCAAATCAAAGTGTCAAGCCACTGGCCATAGTCTAAGGCTATGTCACTGGGACTCTAGGACAGGGACCCTTCCCTTTAGATCAGGGCAGAGTGAGGGCCTGGGTCCACCTCTCTGATTCCCAACCTATGGAAATCAGTGCTTCCCAATCAATGGGAATCTGTCCCCCTGCTCCAGCCGGGACCCTGTTCAGACCTTTTCATCATCCCACTCACCTTTCATTCTGCTTGGCAAGTAAGGCTAGGGGCTAGTCTCCACATCTCTCACATGAGAAAACTGAGGCATCGAAATGACTGGCAGAGCTGGGCCTGGAACTTGCAGCTTCTCCATCCCAGCTCAACTCTTTCTTTGATGGTGGAAATGTTCCTTTTCTGCACTGTCTAATACAGTAGTCAGGAGTCACAGGTGCACTGGAAAGGTGCCTGGAACAAGTAAGGAAATAACCTCATTTGTCTCTCAGCCCCTGAAGCTAGGAGTCCAAATTCAGGGTGCTGCCAGGGCCGAGCTCTTCCCAAAGGCCCTCGGGTAGCATCCTTTGTCGTCTCTCAGCTTCTGGCAGGCCTATACCTTCCTTAGTTTATGTGTCTTCTGTCTGTCTGTGTGGCGCTTCTCATGTTCTATAGGACACTATTCAGGGGGGATTAGGACCATCCCTGCTCTGGAAGTACAAGCAAGGCGCTCCTTAGAGGCAAGGATGGTGAGACTTTGTCTCATATGCTTTGGGCATATTGTCAGGAGGGTCCTTGGAAAAGGACATCGCAATGGGGAACATGGAGGATCAGAGAAAGATAGGAAGACCCCCCCAACAAGATGAATTGACACAGCAACAATTACAATGGGCTCGAGCATGTCAGAAGTCATGAGGATGGTGCCGGGTAGGGCAGCGTTTAATCCAAGCTGCTGTTCGCAGGATTGCTATGAGTAGTGGTTGCCTTGACGGTGCCTAACAAAACAACTCTGGTACCATGTTGTGTTGACTTAACTTGATACCGTCTTCAACGGCCCTATTTCCCCAAGTAGGACCACCACATTTAAAGTCCCCAGGAGTTAGGTGATTTTAGAAGCAGAGAGAGCAGGGTGTCCTCTGGGCCAGAGATTCCTGTGAAAGATGGATCGTGATCAAGACAAAGTCTGAGACACGGCAACGGCGTGAGAGCCATAACTGTTGGAGGGACACAATGAAGTCTCTGACAGGAAGGGAGGGGACCCAGGGCCCTGAGGGGCTCTTCATCTTGGGCTGGCACATGAGGCACGTTTGAAGGCTTTCATACAGAGAGAGGCTAAACTAGTAAACTGAGAGAAGTTCGAATCTTAACTCTGGCTTTTCCCATTCTTTCCCCGTTGCCTTCCTCCGAGCCATTGACCTTTGTAAGGAATGTACTTTATTCTGTAAAGAAGAGACAATCATTGGGCTTGTGGTGGTTTTGTGATAACTGAGAGGGATGCTGGGAGGAAAATGAATGGTAAAAAAAGGCCAACAAAACCTCCTTTCTGAGCTCATCAGAAATTAAAATGCTATTGAAATTAAAAAAGAGAATTCCCTAAGCGGTGGCTAATGATCTGCTTCCGAAAGCTCACAGTCACAGAAAACCTGACGGAACGCAGCTCTCTGAAAGTGGGATTACCCAGAGTCAAAATCCACTCAGCCTGAATTTTTTATAAAGCTCATCAGAATAATGCAGCTACCAGGTCACAAAGACGTTGAGTTCAGAGAATGGATGAGTAGCTGAATTTCTTATGTGTTAGCAACAGTTTGCTTCCATATCATGGCTTCCCCAAACTCTATTTATCCTGCCAGAGGCTTGCAAGGACTATTTAACTGCTTAATTGCCCTCACAGAGCATTTCTCTTTAGTAAAAGTTGCAGGAAAAGCATCACAAAAACTGTGTTGGTCCAGCCCCACATGGTACAGATGCTTGTGGTCTCTTGGGTATAGGCGCCCTCATGGCACAGTGGATTAAATGTTGGAAGTTGTTGTTGTTGTTGTTGTTAAATGCCATCGAGTCGCAGGCGACTCATAGCGACCCTATGAAGGAGAGGCCTCGAAGCTTGGGTGCCTTTCATCCTCTCTCTAGGTTCATAGTGTTTCCGGAGGCAAGCTCTTACAGAAGTGGATGCCACTCCTCCTTCCAAGCTTGTTTTAATCAGGGAGCCCCACCCCACTCTCTGTCCGCATTGGGTAGTCAACCATTAACGCTTTTGACACATCAGTGTCACAGTGTTCAGCCTCACAGCAACCACAAGTGACCACGGTACGGCAACTTGTACACCGGGGCTATACGAAGTAGTTACTCAAAAGTCAGTGGTTCGGATCCACTAGCCACTCTTGAGGAGAAGGATGAGACTATCTGCTCCTGTAAAGCCTTAGAACCCCTGTGGGCAGTTCCCAGTCCTCCTGGGTTACTGCTGCTGCTGCTGCTGTTATTGTTGTTGTTATGTACCATCGAGTGGGAACCGACCCATAGCTAACCCTCCAGCGGGTTTTCAGAGGCAGGTAATGGCACGGGAGGAGATTGCCCATTCTTCACGCACTCCTGGGTTACTATGAGGTGAAGCGACTCGGCCGCAGTGGGTCTCCAAGGCGTGTTCCTAGGTCTCTTCAGGCATTTGAGTGTGCATGTTCCTTTAGTATTACTACTTAATGTTGTTATTAAACTATAGGACATGAAACCTTTACGGAGCCCCAGATATGGCCTCAAATTGTGCAGAACAGATCAGAAACCATTGCTCTAGGTCTTTCATTCTCTCAAGAAATGGAGTGGGTCATGAAGAGAAGTGCAATGCTCCAGGGTGGAGCCAGCAATAGTCCACCAGACTACATCCCACACAGAAGCAGATCTGTCAGCAGAAGGGGTCTGAGGTCCATCCCATCCAGTCCCCCCGCCTCAGCCTGCCCCACCTTTAAACTCTTCTCTCCCCTTTCTTTGTAGACGAGATGCTGCGCCTTTGTGTGTACGTGGTCACCTTGGTGCTGGCTCTGGCCACCTTCTCTGAAGCTTCTAGAAAGCCCCACTCCCAAATGCAGGACGAATCCTCGAGTCCAGTGGCGAGTCGGGGCCTGGAGCTGCACTGGCCAGACCAGCTGGGCCCAGCCTCCCGTCACCAGAGGCAGCTGGGGCCCCAGGGTCCTTCACATTTCGCGGGAGGTAGGAGCTGCTTACCTGGCCAAGCCCCCTAAAGGCTGCTCCACCTACCCACCTCCTCGGGATAATGCCCTTCCTCCTCCCTTGCCCCCTCTCCAGCTCACAGAGGCCCACCTCTGACCCTTCTTGTCCCACTCCTCAGAACTGTCCAAAAAGCAGGGGCCGTGGATGGAGGAAGAAGAAGAAGCATATGGATGGATGGATTTCGGCCGCCGAGCTGCCGAAGAGGACAAACGTCGCTAGAACAAGTCTCAGAGCCCCATTCCCTCCTACCCAAGCCCAGTTCTGTCCCATGAAAAACAAATCAAAATAAAGTAGCATCCAAGGATCATGCATGTCAAGTTCATTCAGTGGGGCAATGGAGGGAGACATGGGGAAGGGACACAGGGAGGCCGGGAGGAGAGCTGGGTGCCACCTAGGGGAGGGACCAGGACAAAGTCCTGTCCAAGTCTTCAGAGACCAACACTGACCAATGATCTGTCTACAGGTGCAGGTGGGAAACAGGCAGTGGGTTTGCAGCCAGAGCAGCAAGCTTCTTAGAAAAGAAATCATGTCCCTTTCTGTTTAAACCTTCTCTATCAAAGCTCTAAAGGGCTAGGCCCACCTCTTCACTGTCCTCCATCTGTGCATGTCCCTTACACACACACACACACACACACACACACACACACACACACACACACAGATCTCTCTGCCCTGAGCCCTTCTTTGCCTTAACGGTCCCCTGACACCCTTTCTGCTCCTCACTCTTCATAGACCTGATTATTATCACAGCCCAATGCTTTCTTTAAATCACAACCTGTAGTTGTAGGCTGGGGTCTCTAAAGAAACAAAACCCAATGATATAGGAGGAAAGCACTCATCTTTCCTCTTCAGAACTGCTGGTGGATTCGAACTGCTGGAGCTCTGGCCTTTGGGTTAGCAGTGCAAATCACTGCACCCTACATGGTCAGAGCTCCTCCGTAAATATCATCAACTCAAACTCAACTCATCGCTGCTGAAGTGGATCCAACTCAGAGCTGTCCCTCCAGCAGGTTTTCTGAGCCTGTAAATGACGCAGGAGGAGACTGCTCGTCTTTCTTTTGGGGAGCAATATTAATATCATGTTGTTGTTTTGTGCCGTCAAGTCGGAACTGGTTCCTTGATGAACCTCCAACAGTTTCTCAGAAGCTGTAAATGACATGGAAGGAAACTGCTCATCTTTCTTTTGAGGAGCAAATAGTGGATTTGAACCACGTATCTTTGGGTCAGCAGCACAATTCCTTAACCTCCAGGCCACCAGAGCTCCCTATTAATATCATAATAGTTAAGATACACTATACATATATTACATTCTACTGAGGGTCACAGCCATGTTGACACACAATGTTAACCTTTACAGTAGTTGTTGCCAGTTGTCTGCCTCCCCAGTAGAAAAGAAACACAGACAAGGGGGGGCACATGCCTTCTTCACTGATATGTTCCCAGTGCTAAGGCACTCAGTGCCTGCTGCACAGGGGATACCAGTAGACATTTACTAAATAGGCCAGTGAGAGGTTGGACCAGGCACTTGCTAGTGTCGCCCCAGCTTCTCTCATTGTGCTTGTGCCTGCTAACAGTTCTCTCCCCTCAGACACGTGTTATTATCTGCTGGAGGGCTTTCTCTCAGCCCTGCACCAGCCTCGCTGGGAGTGCTGGGCAATGAATGCCTCCAGAAGCAGCCCCGGGTCAATGGCAATGAGAATTGGAGATCTACCCCAGCTTCCTTGGCCCTCAGAGGGATAACCACCTCTCAGGCATTCTCCATTGTCTCCATAGTTACGCCTCCGGATTGAGCTCCGTTAACCCACCTGCTCAATGACATATCCTTTACTGGCTTCTTTCCCTTTCTCATTTCACTCCCTCACTCCTGTTCAGTGACTCTTGGAATCATCACCCAAATCAACTACAAGTACACCTCAGAGATAACACAAGTTTGGTTCCAGGCCACCTAATAAAGCAATTCACACAAATGCTTTGGTTCCTTTGTGCAGAGAAAAGCTATGCCTACACTAGTCTATTAAGAGAGCCCTGGTAGCTTAGTGGTAAGGAACCATGCTGCCAACACAAAGGTAGGCACTTCAAAGCCAACCAGCTACTTCACGGGAGAAGGATGGGCAATCTCCTCCTGTGCGATTTACTGCCTCTGAAAATATGTGCATCGGTTCCAACTCAACAGTATACTACCACCACAAAGGAGCTGTGGGGGCTTAGTGCTTTACCTGTTTGTCTGCTAACTAAAAGATTGGCAGTTCAAATCTGCCAGCCAGTTTTCAGGAGAAAGATAGACAATCTCCTCCAGTCACGATTTACCCCTCAGAAACCTGATGAAGGGTCACTATGATCTGGAATAAACTTGATGGCAATAGGGTTTGGGTTTTGGTGGTCTATTAAAGGAGCTCTGGTGGCTTAACAGGTTAAGGGTTGGACTTCTGATCAAAAGGTTAGTGGTTTGAACCCACCAGCCAGTCCACAGGAGAAAGATGAGGCACTCTATTTCTATATAGGGAGCTCTGGTGGCTTAGAGGGGTAAGGATTTATACTACCAACCCGAAGGCACTCGGTTCAAATCCACCAGGTACCACACAAGAAAAAGAGCCGCAATCTTCTCCCATGCAATTTACAGCTCTGAAAAGCAGCTGAAGGACCAGCTACGAGTCGGTTCAGACTTGATGGAGCCCTAGGACCCTATGGAACAGTTGAACTCTGCACTGTCAGGTAGCTGTGGCTCAGAATCAACTCGACGGCAGTGGATTGGGCTTGGGTTTTTAGGTAGTCTATCAAGTGCACAATAACATTGTGGGAAAGTTTGAAATATTCAGAGAAATAGCAAATTGTGGCACAGAGACATGGAGTGATCACACACTGTAGGCAAAAGGACACCAACAGACTTGCTTGATGCAAGTCTCCAATTTATTAAACACAAGACAACAACAAAAAAACCAAACACATATTCTCTACAACGCATGATACCTGCACACATCAGATGTTTATCTTTCCAGCTCTGGTGGCAAGTGTGTTGTTGTACTAATTAAATCCTTCCCTCAATTTATTTCCAGGAGAATTCATCCTAAGACCATACGGGGCTGTGTAGCTATAATACATGGGGGCCAGAAACCAAGAGATGGAGCCAGAAATGTCCCCTCTCCATCACTCCTGAGGCCCACCTCAGAGATTTGAGCTTCCTGGCTCCCTCCTCCCCAAACTTAGGTCCCTCCCCCAATTGTAGGTTCTGCTAGACTAGAGATTCTGGTTCTGGAGGAGGTATGGCAGACTGCCTTCAACAGGGAATAAAGATTTTCTTAAACCTAACTGCTGCTACTTGCTCAGTTTGGGCTCTCCATGCCAGTGGACCAGGAGTTACTAACTACGTGCTTATCGACCTTGACCAGTGTGAGGAGCTGGGTTCGTGCCAAACTTAGGGAACCCACTAGGGTGTCACTAAGGGATCCTTGGTGCTTCCTGCCTCGTGTTAATCAGAAAAGGACAACAGCACCCCTGGCCTGACAAGGGTGTAGTACCCGAGGGTTCAGACTGACACAGCTCAAGTGTTGGCCCAGGATATAAAAGGAATCTAGAATGAGAGGAAAGAGATAAAGAAATACTATTTATGGTTTCAGTGCCAATATTTGCAGTGGGGACCGCAGCTTGTATCAGTCACCCTCTAGTTGTATTTAATATCAGCCTCCACCTTCAAGCACAATCGAGTGTCAGTCAGATCAGAGTGAACTCAACATAGAGCTTGAGCGCCTCAGAGCAGAACAAGGGGTGGACTGTAGCGGACTGTACACCCATCCCTTAGCACTCATTGTGTCTGTACGTGGCAAGAGTCTGGCTACAAGCACCAGTTATTTTCTTCTTCAGGGTTTTCCTCAGCTCACACATGGGGCAGGCCAGACATGCCAAGGTCAGAATGCTCGCCAGGAGCGATTTCCAGGAGTCAGAGCTACCTCTTCCTCTGGGTGGAGTAACAGTGGTCTTTCTGTACTGGCACCTCCAAAACGTGAACATGGAATGACTGAGAACCTTGTTAAAATGCAGATTCTGACTCGCTAGGTCAGGAGGAGCCTGAGAGTGTTCATTTACACACTCGGAAGTGTCCAGGTCTACACGGTCACTGACCTGGAGGTCACACTTTGGGTTACAGAGGTCTACACACACACACACACACACACACACACACACTCCCCAGTGGAATTGAGTCTTCGATGCCTCAAACTCCTTTTCATTAGCTCCTTTTGTTCTCACTTCCCCACACCCTCTAAGAGTCCTCCCTGGTGACTATCTTCCACGTAAATGGCTTAGTCTCAGATCCTATTCTAGGTCGGCTTCAGAGGACTTTAATCCAAGGGAGTGAGTGACCCTCACACCTGCTTTGACTCCCACAGTCAGGGTATGGATTGGATCAGAAAAGGATCAGCTCAGGCTCCAGGGACCCGAGTTCAAATCCCAGCTCAACAAAGCTGTCAGATCCTGGGAGAGTCACTTCACCCACCTGAGCCTTGGTTTCATCATCTGACAAATACTGTCGTTAAGCTGAGCCAGTGCCAACTCAGGTCAACTTTAGGTGCAACTTTATGAAAGAAACACTGCCCAGTCCTGAGCCGTCTTTATCACCCTTGATATGAATGACCGTGTTGTACAGCTATTACGTCAATCCATCTCATTAGGGTTCCCCTCATTTTCGTTGACCCTCTACCAACAGTGATATCCTTTTAGGGTGACTGGTCAGTTAGTTTAGTCAATTGGACAGACAGTCCTTGGCAGAGTATCTGGTATCAGAGCCTGCTCTCTCTCCATACATTGTTCCATCAAAGCACACACACACACACACACACATTAAGAAAGGTGGAGGCCAGACCAGGTAGCAAACAGCTCCTTTATTTCCTGCACCAGCATGGAGACAGGTTGACAAACAACATGAGACTGAGAAGCACGTGGGGAGGAGGACAGGTACCAATGGAAAGACCTGAACCCCAGGCCCCCACTGCTGACCCACTGCTGACAAATAAGGGGCAGGAGGGGGAGGACATTTGGAAGGAGAAAGTTCAGGGTGGGGTGACTGGGCCTCAGGTGGCGAGCCTGGACACAGGTCACAGGCCAGGATGGGTGGTTAGGGGGCAAGGGAGGGGGGAAGACACACACGCTGGGCACAGGGATTCCTCACCCACACATAGAGACACCTCAGGTTAAAACAGTAACTAGGGACTGAGGAGAAAAGACAGAGAACGGGAAGAGAAGGGTCAGGTCCCTAGAAGCCAACAAGGACTTGGGAGTCACCTTTGACCTGGGAGAAGGGTGTTGGGACGCTCAGAACCACCTCCTACACTGGAGCCTGTGTGTCCCCCGGCTCGGTCATGCCCGCTCACAGCTGGGTCTGGTAGCTAGCGGGCCTCCCCCTGGACCTCTTCCGCCCCCTGGGCCACCAGGTGATCCAGGCCCAGCAGCTACAGCTTTTGCACCAGCTGCAGAACAAGGGCCGGGGCTCCTTCAGCCTGTCCCAAAAGAGGGTTGAGGCTTGGGCCTTCAAGCTCTGGCCCAGGTTCATGAGGACAGTGGGGGGGCTGGGGGCGGACAGGGTGTCCTGTTTAGGAAAATGGGACAGAGGGTCTGGGGCAGGTGGGGCTTGGCCAGGCAGCGGAAGGAGGGGTCTCATGCTGTCTGTGGGGCCTCTGCAGGCTGCTGGGAAACAGCAAAGCCTGGAAGAGAAGGGGGGTGGACGTGAACTAGGGACCTGAGGACCACAGGCCTGGCCTGGGCAATGGACAGGGGCTGTGGCCTGGGGAGCTACACCAGAACGAGATAGAGAGCTAACACTTGATAGTTAAACAAGTTGCCTACTGGCTATCCATAGAGGTCACTGTTCAGTTTACAGCCTGTGCAACCGTACACAGCAGCCCTTTGAGACCGTGAGACCAGTGCTGTTCCACCCGCCATCATAGTGGGGGTGGGCCAGAGGTGCAGGCCATGGTGGAGACTTCCAATAGGTTATGCACTTCAGAGCTGACCCAGCAGGACAGCAGGGCGAATGGGCACTAGGACAGAATCAGAGGGGAGGGCCAGGCCAGAGAAGGTGCTATGGAGAAGCAGTGAAGAGAATGGGCTCAGATCCACTCCTAGCTGGGAGACTTTGAACAAGTAACTGTGACTCTCTGAGCCTCAGTTTCCTTATTTTATAAACAGGGACAGTAATTCCTGCCTAGGGGGTGGAGGACCAAAGGAAACAACGCACAGAAAGGGTTAGACCCTTAGTGCAGGGTCCGACCCACATGAACAAGGATCACCAGGATACCAGGACCACCCTGAGCTCCTTGCCCGACGCAGCATGTGGCATCACTAGGGACGGCTCATCGACCTTCTGGGTTTTCTAGCTAGGGACGGAGACCCTGACCCACCCCACCCCTCAACCCTGCAAGAAACCTTCGCCCACCTTCAGACTCACCCAGGGGACTGGTCCAATTGTGGCCCTTGGTGGCGGAGGCTTTCGTCCCAATGGCCTGGGTGGCCCCAGAAGGCCCCTCTTGCTCCCAGGCCCTGGGAGGGTGCTTGGCCCTGTCCTTCTCCAGCCTCCGAAAGTCCTTCGTGGGCACCCCGGGCCGTTGCTCCACGATCCCGCCCCCCATGTGTGTTTTGGCCTGCTGCTGCCACTGCTGCAGGGTTGGGGAGCCTTGGGGATGGGGGAAGTGGGGTGGGGGTGGGGGAGAGGGGTGGGCAGAGACAGGAAGCTGAGACGCAGTAGGGGGTTACAGTCCCAGACCTGACCCCCAGCCCAGTACCCAGGAGAAAGGGGGGTTAGATCTGGACATCTATGTAAATTCCATGTAACTGAGTAAGGAGGCCAGTTTTCCCCACTAAGGGGGGTCCCTCAGGGGCCTATGGAAATTCTGTGCAAAGTTCATGCAAATCCACACACTGGGTGGGGCGAGGCTGGGGTAAGTGAGCACTGGAGGGGCTCACCTACCCTGGCCTTTCACAGCCTTGAAGATCTGCAGCTTGGCTGGCTGGCCAGAAGGAGGCCCCCACGGGAGCACTCACCTTTCTGGAGCATCTTCTGCCTCAGCTGTCGGCGGCACTGTGTGTCTTGCCAGTTGGCTAACTGCTGGAGGGCACACTTCATGTCCAGGTGGGAGGGGCCCGAGCTGCTGGCCTCCAGGGCTGAGGTAACCACGTCCGTCCGTGTCTCCTCATCCAGCTCCGGCTCTATCTCCTCCCAGTCCTCAATTTCCTCCACTTCCAGCTCCTCCTCGTCTACCACCCTCTCCTTGGCGGCTGGCACCACCTTCTCCACTTCCTCGGGCGCTTCCAGCTCCTCCTCAGGCACCAGCTCCTCCACAGGCACGAAGTCTTCGACTGACACAAAATCCTCTTCTGGCATCGAGCCCTCCTCAGCCTTGAACCTCGCCGCCTGCTGCTGCCGCTCCTCACGGTAACGGCAGTGTTGCTTGTATCTGGGCAGGGAGACAGGAAAGTCTTTCCACAGCCCTGCAAGCCAGACTCCTGGGATGTCTCCCACAAAGGGGGCTGAGAAGAAGTTCAACCTCTAGGCTGCCCCCTCTCCAGCTTCTCTGGGAGCTCTCCTTCCCCTGCCAGTCTGCATTTTACCTAATGGTTAATCTTCAGTTGTGTACCAGCCAAGAGAGAGAGGGGGCAGGGTACCAGCTACAGTGCTTTAAATACCAGCACCTGCTTCTAAAGGAATAGGATGGACCCCCCAATAGTGCATGGGCCCCACCTTCTCTAAGCATCTCTACTCGGCTGCTGCGCAGAACAGATGAGTAAGTACTTACTATGCCCCCAGCTTCCCTCCGTTATTTAACCTTCACAGTCCACCCTACAGCTGCCCTAAGAACAAGCCTGTTCTAAGGCCCAGATAGGTCACATGAGGCCAAAGACACACAGCCAGCAAAGGGACCAAGCTGGGACTCAGTCCCAGGTGCTCCCAGGTTTTAGGTCACAGCTCGTCTACCTCTTGGGCTCTGGACAGCTGAAAGGAAGGCTTTGGTCCCCATTTTAAACAGCCTTAAACCAGGTGGTCACCTTCAGGGCAAGATCTGAAGGAAAAGAGGGCAGCTTCTTTCCAGAATGACTCTCAGCCCTGACGCCCAAAGAGAAAGGTCTTCTCCCGGGGGTAAGGGTCACGGAAGGTGCTGAAAGGTAAGGGCAGGTGGCAGAGGATCGCCTGGCCGGCCGGCTTACCCCAGGTTCGAGGTCTCCCTTGATGATCTTTCATAATTCCTTCAACAAAGAAAAGGACCTTCACTGTACAGAGGCAGAGGCAGTGGAAATCACCAAGTCTCAGGGGCCCAGCTATGCAGATAATTCTCAGGAGGAAATGATGGCCCGAGACCATGTGGACAGAGAAAAGGGTAGTGAGTGGGGGAGGCTGGGCAGCAAATACAGGTATTGGAGTAGGAGGAGCCACAGGAAGGGAAGGCCAGGGGGTGGGAGCAAGGCCCCGCTCTTTTATTAGAATAACAGCTCCTCCTGAAGGGGGCAAATGGAGGTCAGGTAGGGCCTGGCCATCCCAGCTATGCACCTTTCCATAAAAAACATGGGGTCCGAGATGATCCTTCGTATAGACGTCCTGAGCTCCTCAGCCAGGGCCTCTTGGAAGCCAGGGAGTGCCTCCTACAGGGAAAAAGGGGGGCATTACCACGGGACCCTCCAAACCCCCTCACACAGGCAGGCACAGGCTGAGGATGAGGGCAGAAGCCAGCCTGCAGGGCTGAGGCACCCAGAGCACCCAGAGGTCAGGGTGCAGGATCCCTGAAGAGTGTCTGGGGGAAGGTGGCTTACCAGAGGCATGGCGTATGTGTAGTGGATGACAGAGCCGGTGGACACCTGGGCTTGCTGCCGGAGGGTCTTGACCTCTTCCTGGGCCTCAATCAGCATGCCCCCACATTCCATGTACTTCTCCCGCAGGTCCTGCAGCTGGGACCCGCCCACCGCTCTGTTGGGACCCAGGCACATGAACCCAGCCCGCTTCTTCCCCGAGACTCCAGACCCAAACAGCGACATGCAAGTGCCCCCACCACCTGCCAGGCCCTACACCAGATACTGAAGGTTCAGAAAGGGACAAGACTCCATTCCGGTCTACAAGGTGCGCGGTGAGCCAAGGGTGTGGGTGCACGAACTCACAAGGGCTGGGGCAGGAGTCTGGCAGGGGTGGGGTGGGGTCTCACCTCCTCCTGGAGCTGCACCTGGATTTCCTTCTCTGACGTCAGCTGCTGCTGCAACTTCTCAGTCTCAGCCCCATACTGGAAGGATCCAAGATGGGTAAACCCCCACCCCAGCTTCCCCAACTCCCGTGCACCTTTCGCTTCTAGAGAACCTTCCCAGGGCATTAATGAGTGTTTAGGAGCCCCTCAAGCGAGCAGTCACACAGGAGATCAAATAAGGGTGGGGTGGGGGTGCCCTGCAGTCTGGCTGCTGAGAGAATGTCATTCTCATTGGACCCTGGTCCCTTCCTCGAAGCAATGAGGGGGCAGGATGGTGGGGAACTGGGAACTGTGGGCTCCATGAAGGGGGTGCTTAGGTCTTATTAACTGAATCATGTGCCCCCTAAGATACTCAGTGTACCTCTATACATGTGATTATAATGTCTTTGGGAATGGTTTGTCTGTTATGTGAACAAGGCAGGATTAGTAAAGGATGTGTCTTGAGCCAATGTCTTGAAAGAGAATCGACAAGCACGCTGAAAGCAGAGAGAGGGGAAGAGAGACACCATGCCACGCGAAGATCACCAAGGAGCCAAGGAATAAGGACCTTCCCCCGGAGCCAACAGAGAAAGCCTTCCCTAGAGCCGGTGCCCTGAATTCAGACTTCTAGCCTCCTAAACTGTGAGAAAATAAATTCCTGTTTGTTAAAGCCACCCATTGTGGTATGTCTGTTATAGCCACACTAGACAATGAAGACAGGTCCCCTGGAGGCAGGACAGAAGGAGGGGAGCCCTGCACACACACCCCCGCTCACCGACTGACAGCGCTGCTGCAGCTTCAACACCTGGGCCCGCAGCTGGCCGACCTCCCTCTGCTGCCGGTCCTGGTTCTCCATCCTGAGCGCCAGCACCTCGGACAGCTCGGCCATCTGCTGGCTGGCCTCCGCTGGGGAGGAGCAGGGCAGGGCAGGTCAGTGCTCACTCCGCTGGCCTTTGGGGGACCAGGTCTGGTCCTCTCAGACTCCTCCACCCACCCCCACCCCTCAGCTCCTGCAGAGTTCCAGAGGTTTCTACAGGGTTTAGCATTCCTCAGTCAGATCTTCTCGTCCATAAATGTTTATTGGCTGACACTGGGCCAGGCACTGGAGTGAGCAGTCAATGAGACCTGGTCCAGCCTTCACTGAGCTCAAGTCTAGTGCAGAGACAGTTAGGGAAAAAGAAGTCACAAGAACGCACAGCACAGACTAAGGCGGCGCAATTATAAAGGGCAGACGTCTGCAGCACCCAGCCCAGCCTTGTGAGGTCTGGGAAGGATCGCAAAGCTAAGACCTCCACGGGGCAAATGGAGCTCGGCTAGGCCAAAAAAGGAGGCCACAGGCCCAGGTGGAGCATGGCAAGGCTCAGAAGGAATCATCACAAGAAATAACAGGTGAGTGACAGGGCCCAGGACACAAGGCACAAAGGCTGGGGTGGAACCTTTGGCCAATGAGAGGTACTTTAAAGAGCTTCAGGCAGAAGAATGACATGGTCAGATTAGGTTCTAGAAAGTTCATTCCTGTTGTGTGTAGAAGGACCAAGAGGAAGAGGGGAGGCAGAGGCAACAGTTAAGAGGCTACTATAGCGGCTTAGGTGGACTGCGTGAGAAGCAGTCAGACTAGGGAACCAGGAGGAGTCCTGAGCAATTCCTCACACAATATGAGGACCAGCTTCTATTCCAAGGTCTGTAGAATCATTCAGGGAGCTAAGGAACCCAGGAATGGAGATCAAGATTGGGCTAGATGAGTTCTCAAGGGACAAACGCTGTGCCTGACTTAGAGCCTAGGACAGAGCCTAACAACTGGTGCCTGATACACGGTAACAGGTGCACTGTCCCCACCCCAGTGCCTCTGGGAATCAGGTCTCGGGCAAAATGACAGAGCTATCATTTTCTGGATTTCAGCCCTCCACCCTTCTTCCCCCCGAGTTGTAACAGGAGACAGGATCAGAGGATGCCTGGAGATTCCGCACCGCATTTTATAATTTGTACAAAGCACTTCCTTAGCTGTTGTTTCTCTTGATCCTTGTAACCCCTGAAGGGCCAAGATAATGAATGTCCAGTTTAAAGATGAAAGGATTAAGGTTTGGGGAGGTCAAGAAAGTCATCCAAGTTCACACAGCTAAGAAGTACCAGAGCTGGGACTTGAACTCAGGGCTCTGGATTCCAAGTCCTGAGTTCTGCCCTCCATTCCTAGGGACCAGCCCCACCCCCGAGTCACAACATCACATACAAAACTGCTCCACACACTGCAGAATGAGCATCTGCTCCTCCTCCTCCAGGGTGTCAGGTTGGGAGGCCTGGAGGGAGGGAGGGAGAAAGGAAGGGGCAGGGGTGTCAACACCCCTCAACCCGTGGGGGCGCCCCCTTTCCCCATCCTCACCTCCTCTCTCAGCTGATCATTCTCCTCTTCCAACCGTCTCAGCTTCTGCTGCAGGGCTTCCACCTGTGGGCAGTGGTGCAGCGATTCCTTCAGGGGGGTCCTAGTGGAGGAGGGCAAGATGGAAGTGGGGGTGCAGGGAGGATGGATACCCAGTTCCTAGCCATCTAGGACCCCCAACCCAGACTGAGCGTGACCATCTCAATTCACCCCAGCAACACTGATGATGGCTGGCGCAGTGTCTCTGTCCCTGTTTACAAACTGGGAAACTGAGGTTCAGAGAAGAGGCTGCCAGGTGCAAAGGCAGGATACTCACTGCTTGGGGGCATCATGAGGATAGTCACACCGATGCTCTTCCTCTTCTTCCTCCTTCTCTTCTTCCTCCTCTTCCTTTCCACTTCCCTCTTCTTCCACTTCTTTCTTTTCTTTATCTTCTTCTTTCTCCTCCTCCTCCTCCTTCTCTTCTTTGCCCTCTTTCTCCTCCTTCTCTTGTTCCTCTTCCTCCTCCTCCTCCTCTTCAGAGTCTGAGTACAACTGAAGGAGGTCATCCCGCAAGCTCACCTGCTGTCTAAGGTGCAAAATCTGGCAGGAGGGGAGAGGAGCCCTGGGTTGGGGAGCGGGCAGGGGCAGGAGGCCAGGTGTGAGGGGTATGAGGGGACTGTAGCCAGGTCTGAGACGGCACAGCCCTCCCCCCTGCCCTGCTCCCAGTTACCTCCTCCCTGGCCGAGCTCAGCATTGCTTCCAGTTTGCCATTCTCCTCCATCAGAGCACTGTTCTGTTTCACCAGGGATTGACCAATGCGAGCCGCCGTACTCAGGTCCCGCTCTTTCTGCAGAGGACCCACCAACCATGGGAACTACTTTCCTGGTTCCCAGTGTCTCCCACAGAGGTGGGAGACGTTGAGAGAGGGGAGGGTCAGAGGCTGGGGGTCAGAGGGAAGCTAGGCCACCTGGGAAAAGCCTGTCCACTCCTTAGGTCTCCTGGGCACTAGACTAGGGGCTGCCATTAACTCATGGTGGGACCTGATTCAGTTTCCGCTTATGGAGAAACAGATTGGCTCTTAGAGCTCTACCATCCTGCACACTGCACTTACTGGTTTCCATGTGAGATGCCCCCCGAGGGATAGCTAAGCAGGAGAGAGAAGACCCCCACATCACAGGACAGAATCAAAGTGAGGGCCCAGGGCTGACCGGAAAGGGATGCTAGCACACACCTCCTCCAGCAAATTCAACATCACTTTGACGTCTTCCTGGGTTATCTTCTTAACTGGTGGGGGTCGGTCAGAACATAGCACTGGTGGAGGAGGTAGGGTGGTGAGAGGCAGCCCAAGCAGGTCAGAGAGGAGACATATGCCCTCCCAATTCCTTCATGTCCTCAATAATTAATAATAATAATAATAATAATAATAATAAATAGCTCTTCCTCAATAAGGACCAGGCAGGCTGCCCCTTAACTCTCATCATCTCCCAACACTCAGCACTCAGCACTGCCCCCCCCCACCCCGGCCCCTCAGAGCTGCATCTTGTCACTGGAGAGGCCTGGGCCAGGTAAGGAGACTGCAAGTGGAGGTGGGGGTCTCAGGACCCTTGGGTGCTGGTATCCAGGAGATTGGAGGCAGCTGGGAAGAAAGCCAAGATCTCACTCTTGACCTCGAGAGAAGCCTGGGGCAGCTCGTGGTCATGAAACAGTGAGCCCACCCCGCACCTGTTGCGTGTGGAGTGGAAAGGAGTGGACTTCTCTCTAGCACTGGAGAAAGGGGCACCACTTAAACCTCAAACTTCAATCCAGAGAGCACCCCCAAAACCAGAAGAGGAAGGAGGCCAAAGCCCAAGCTAAGCCCTGCCCACCTCCAGGAAAAGCCTGCTCTTGAACCTGTAAACTGAGAGGTAGGCAAAACCACCCCCTGCTTCCACACACCTCCCCCTCGGCCCACCCACCTCCCCCTCCCCGGGGAGCGCGCGGCCAACGCAGGCTCAGAGCGCGCCCACAGCGTCCTCAGCAGCCCCCCGCCCCTCTCCCAGCACTGCGGTAGCCTGGGGAGGGGGCACGGAGAGTGCGCAGAACCACAGCAGCAACAGGCGCGCAGAAGGGGCGGACCCCGAACCTGACCGACCCACGGCAATCCCGGCACAGAAGCGAGAGATGGGGAAAGGGTCACCAGACAGGCACCGCAGGCTGTGACATCGCGGGGGTGGGCGCAGGGGTGGGACTAGCTGCCACAGGAGACAGGGCGCTTGGCCCCGACGGGGGACTCCTCGTCCCAGGAGCTGCGCTCACCCTACCCGGGCTAGGGTCCCGGGAACCCTGTTTACCTTCCTCCAGCTCCCGAATGAAGGCAGCGCGCTCGGGACCGGACACTCCGGGCCGCCGGCCAATATAGGCAGCCGGCGACTTCCAGATGCCCGCCGCCTTGTCAGTCCCCAGGCCGGCGGCCCGGATCCCAAAGGGCCCTTGGAAAATGAAGCGGGTCCATCGCACGTCCGCGTGGCCGGGCACGGACTGGGCATCCCCCTGGACGGCCGAGAACGTGAACGCGCGCGGGGCTCCGGTCTCGGCGGCAGCCTTGGAGGTTGGGCAAGCACTGGCTGGGGGTCCCGAGGTGGATCTGGACTCCGAGGCGGATTGGGGTCCGGGTTCGGGTCCCGGTCCAGGGGCCTGTGCGGGGGCGGGGGTGGGCTCCGCCGAGGGCTCCGGTGCAGGGGTGGCTGCGGGCGGGGGTGCAGGCGTGCGGGTGGCGGGGTCGGCGGGGCCCGGCTGGTCCCCCACGCAGCCCCGGGCGGGGTCCTGCGGGTGCATCCTGAGTCCGCAGTCGCTGCCGCAGCCCGGCCTTTATAACCTGCGCCGGGAGCCGCGGCCGCCGGGCCGTACCATCGCGGGGAGGGGGCGGCCGAGGAGCAACTGGTGGTGTCGGCGCCGGGGCTGGTGCGGAGGGGGTGACGCTCCGGAGCAGATGGCAGGAGGAGGAAAAGGGCACGATGAAGAGCCGCACGGAGGTTCCAGCTGGTTCTGTCGACTTGGCTTTGGAGGAAAAGAATTGCTCCCCCCTCTCCCCTTGAGAAAAATGGTTCCTCCCAAAGCCGCTGCTTCCCCGGGTCTCTGCTACCCTGACTCTCTCCGGACGCGAGTCAAAATTTAAAAAAAAAAAAAAAAAATCTTTTGTTGGATTGGAACTGACTCCCAGCTGACCCTTCGTCATGGGGTTTCTGGGGCTGCAAATCGCACGGGAGGAGATTGCCCATCTTTCTCCCACGGACCAGCTGGTGAGTTCAATTTCCTTTCCTGATGTCTTTCCACCCACCCACAGCCAACCCAACTTTTAAAATATGGTCCTGGGTGACTTAGGATTTAAAGCAGAAGTGTGTTTCTTCCTTTGGACTGAGGGCGAAACTGAGCCTCCTGGACGACTTTGAACACCCTGGCCAGCCCCAAGCTCACAAACCCATGCTGGCGCTCATACTTTTCAAGCTCTGGGGTCTTCCTCCTGTCCCCATTTCCTTCTCCCTGACCCTAATCAGTTGCCAGATTCTGCTGAGTTGTAACTCAGGTGCCCCAAGGCCATTTGGACCAATAGGCACCTCATGTGGCAGAGTAGACTTGACCACGCTGTAGAGTCCATTTGCTGCTTTTCCTGATGAGGTGCCCCCAGAGGGCTAGGTAGGGCAGGGAGGCAGGAGAAAGAGGACCCCCACCTCACAGACAGAATCAAAGTGAGGGCTGGGGCCTGACAGGAAGGGAAGCACACCACACACCTCCTCCAGCAAATGTAACATCACTCGGTCATCTTCCTAGCTGTCTTCTTAGCCAGTGGGGTCAGTCAGGACACAGCACTGTCAGAGGAGGCAGGGCAGTGAGAAAAGGCCCAAGAAATCAAAGAGAGGCCATTCCTTCATGTCGACTCATCAACTTTTCCTAAAGCACCAGCACGCTGCTCCTTAACCCCTAATACCTCACAACGCCCCAATATTCAAGCAACCTCTGAACTGGACTGAACTTCATCTTGTCTCTGGAGAGACCTGAGCCAGATAAGGGGAGTGCAGTGGTCTGGGCTCTGGCCTAGGTGGCCTAGGTGGGCTCTCCGGATGCCTGGATGCTGGCATCCAAGGGAAAGGAGGCCACTGGGAAGCAATCCATGTACAGAGTTCCCATCCTTGACCCCAGCAAAGCCTTGGCCAGCTCCTTTGAGCTTGTGGGTCATAAACACGGTGAGATTTACAAAGTCACTCACTCTCTACATCCGTTTCACGAGGAGAGGGGAGGTCTTCTCTCCAGCGCTGGAGGAACACCTGAGACTATGGCCCTTAGTCACCTTTTGAACTTGGGAAAAGATTCATCCTTTTGGTTCAACTTTCAGCCAAACAATAGACAGGATACAGGAGAAGACTTAATTGTGCTGGTGTGAGACCTGTACATGGATCAAGAAGTAGCTCAAATAGAATGAGGGAAGACTGTATGATTTAATATCAGGAAAGGTATGTGTGAGGATCACATCCTTTCCCTTTATTCCGCATGTGTTGACATTGTTGTCATTGTCATTGTTGTTAAGTACCATTGAGATGGAACTGAGCTGACCCTCCAGCGGGTTTTCAGAGACAGTAATTTGCCAGGGAAAATTTTGCCCAGCTTTCTCCTGTGGAGCACGTGGAACCACATACCTTTGCACTGGCAGTACAATTTCTTACCACTAAGCCACCAGAATGGCTAGAACAGTACCTATAGATTAGGAACTGACAGATGTTCAAGCAGGATTTAGAAGAGTTCATGGCACCAGAGGTGTCATTGCTCATATCAGATACGTCCTGACTGAAGGTAAAAAAATACAACAATGTCTATTTTTGATTTATTAACTATGCAAAGGCATTTGACTGTGTGGATCATAACAAATTATGGTTGACGTTGAGAAGAATGGGAATCCCAGACCACTTAAATGCCAAACCTACACCTAGACCAAGAGGCTATTGTGTAAACAGAGCAAAGGAACACTGCATGGTTTACAATTAAGAAAGGTGTACATCAGGCTTCCACCATTTCTCCATTCTTATTTAATCTGTCACTGGGCTAATAGGTAAACAAATAGGTCTTGGAGAAGGTGCAGCCAGCATACTCTTTGGAGGCAAAGAGGATGAGCTTTTTCACCTTACATACTTCGGGCATATGGTTAGGAGGGACTATTCCTTGAAGAGGGGCAGGATGCTTGGAAAGGTGGAGGGTCAGCGAAGGAGAGGAAGACCCTCGACCAGGTGGATTGACAATGGTGACTGCTGCAATGGGCTCTAACGTATCAGGAAGTGTGAAGATGGCACAGGATAGGATAGGGTTCAGATCTGTTGTTACAGACTTGCTACAGGTTATACTCAACTCAGTGGCACCTGACAACATTTAATGTGTATGCTGAGCAAGTTATTTGAGAAGCTGGACTCTATGTGCATCATGATTGGATCCACAGTCACTTCACTGGTACCAGAGTCGGTAGATCAGGAGACATGTTGCACTGGGAAAGCCTATGGTCAGGGACCTCTCCAAATTATTGAGGAGCACTGATAGCAGTTTGAGGATTAAGATCAGCCTGATTCAGGCCATGGTCAGTCACTTGGCATCTGAGAGCTGGACAATGGCTAAGGATGACAGAAGAATCAATGCCTTTGAGTTGTGGTGTTAGAGAAGAGTATCTGGTATCCCCCGGGCTGCCAAAAGAATGAGCAGATATGTCTGAGGAACAGTGCAGCCAGAGTGCTGCTTGGAGGCAAGGATGACAAAGTTTCCTCTCACATACTTTGGACAAGTAGTTAGGCGAGGATATTCCTTGTAAAACGACGTCATGCTTGGAGAGGTGGAGGGCAGGGAAAGAGATGGCAACCCTCGGCAAGATGGATTGACACAGTAGTGACAGCAGTAGGCTCAGAGATGATGAGAATGGTGTAGGTTAGGACCGAGTTCAGATGTGTTATTCCCAGGGTTGCTGTGAGTCAGACTCAGCTTGATGGCAGCTAACAACATAGAGTCTAATCTGAGAACAGCAAGAGGAGAACACTATCACCAGGGAGGCACTCCTTAGAATAACCAGCCATCTGAAGTCAAAAAGGAGCGCTGGTGGCCTAGTCCCTAGGGAATCATGATGCTGACCTAAAGGTGGCCAGTTTGAATCCACCAGCAGCTCCAAGGGAGAAAGATGAACAAGCTCCTCCGTGCAATTTACAGCCTCCAGAATCCCATTGCAGGATCCGCTATGAGTTGACTCCCACTGAATGGCGATGAGTTGAGCAGGACAAAGAGCAGTACACGTGCATAAAAAAGAAGTACAAGCTCCAGTGTGAACAGATACACAGACACCTCTGTCCACTCACTGCAGCATTACGGCGACAGAGAGAGAAACAATTTGAGTGCCCATCGGCAGATAAATGTGTAAGTACCCGTGGTTCACGTGATGGAAAACCAGTGAAAAATGAAGAACAGCACAGATGAACCTGGAGGACCTTATGCTGAGTGAAATAAACCAGGCACAAAAGGGACAAATACTGTATGAGTCTGAAGATACAAATAGCTAAAGAAAAGTATATGAAAAGAAGGAAACAGTCTTTGATGGATACCAGGGATGAGAGGAGAAAGGGAAGAAAAAGCAGTAATTAGATAATAGACATATAATAATAGTTTGGGTGAAGGTAAAGGCTGTATAAAATAAGGGGAGATTAGGAAAATTAAAAGGATCAATTTTGTCTGATCCCAGGTACATGAATTATGTAGACTGGGCGAATGCAAGGAGGCACCTCTCTGTCCATTAGAAGCCGTCACAGCTCCGTGACAGGTAAGTACTCTCTTTCCCCAATGATTTCTAGCCTCTGAAAACCCACTGGGCTCTGAGTCAGTTTGGCGGCAATGAGTTTTGAGTTTGACCCCATGCCCAAAGATCACCCTGGTTGCACTTCCTCTGGTTTCACTTCCTCCAAGACAGGTTTGTTGATTCTTTAGGCAGTCCATGGAATATTCAGTACTCTTCACCAGCACCACAGTTCAATGACACCAGTGCTTCTCCAGCTTTCCTTATTAAGTGTCCAGCTTTCACAAAGCAATGGAACATACCATGGCTTGGGTATAGATGGTGATGATGATGATGATGATGATTATGTGTGTATCGTCAAATTGGATCCAACTGGTACAGGAGGAGATTGAACCGCGCGCCTCTGGGATTGCAGTGCAGCTATTTGCCACTAGGCCACCAGAGCTCCTTTCACCTTGATCTTTAAACTCAGTCCTTTGTTTTTTAGTATTGTATAGAGGTCTTTGACAGCAGATATTCCCCAGTACAGCACATCTTTGGGTTTCTTGACTGTTGCTCCCTTGAATATTGATTGTGGATCCAAGTAAAAGGTTAGTGTTGTGACATGTTTTAAAAAGAAAGTATCTAGACATTAAAAAAACAAGAGTCCTTGGCAGCTTCAGTCTTATTGGATCTGACTGGTACAGGAGGAGATGGCCCCTCCTTCTCCGGCAGAGCCTCTAGTGGATTAGAACCACATATCCCTGTGATTGTAGTGCAGCTTCTTGCCACTAGGCCACCAGAACTCACCTCAGCAGCTTCAGTATTTTTGCAACCTATTGTGATACTGACTTCTGGTGCAGTTATTGAGGATTTTTGTTTTCTTAATTTTGAGATACAATCCATACCTATGATCTTTAAAAAGTGCTTCAAGTCTTCTTCAATTTTAGTAAGACAGGTTTTATCATTTACCTAATAGAGGTTATTGATGAATCTTACTTCACTCTTGATGCCGCATTCTTCTTCATATAGTCCAGCTTCTCGT